TCTCTCTCTCTCTCTCTCTCTCTCTCTCTCTCTCTCTCTCTCTCTCTCTCTCTCTCTCTCTCTCTCTCTCTCATTCTCTCTCTCTCTCTCTCTCTTACACTCTTACTCTCTTCCACTCCCCCCCCCAGCCCCTCTCTCTCTCTCTCTCAGTTGGCTAACGGCTTGGACATGTCATCACATTGTTCAGCCAGGGAGAGGGACAGAGAAAGAGAGAGTTGCCACTGCCGCCCGCTTGCTGCCTCTGCCTCGGAGGGACAGTGAAAGAGAGAGCCGCCACTGCCGCCCACTTGCTGCCCCTGCCGCCAGCTTGCAGCCATCTGCCACTGCCAGCTTCACCGCGCCGCCGCCGTCCTGTGCCCACTGCCACTGCTGTCTGCTGCAGTCTGCTGCATCTTCTGCCCGACGCCACTGCCAGTCACCCCATGACCACCATCGCCCGATGCTCGCTCACTGGCCCCGTTCTGCCCAATGCCACCCACCGTCCGCATACTGCTTGCTGCCCACACCCTTCATGTCCCATTGTCCCGTTGTCAGAAGCCAACTTGATGTCCTCAGCCTCTAAGGTCATATCGGGCTGCATAACGATCCCCCTCCCCAATAAGGAGCTCTTGGGTCCATAACTCTTGGGTGGATCGCTGGGTGATGTGACCCGGGGGCCCACGAAAGAGGACAAATGGAACGTAGGACTGAAAAGACACGAGATCAATTCAGCTAAAAGGCCCTGATGAAAGAATGGCGCCAGACTAGGCGCGTTCAACTTTCTTTTTCTTTTTTTTGTTATATGAAGGGGTCGACTAAGCACGCTTACTCGTATGACCCCTGCAATCAGACTCGCTTTCTTTTCCACTTCGCACTCATGCAAACAGATGGTGAATCACACTGGCGCACAGCGCCCACTCAAAGCTCAAAGATATGGAAGTCGAAAACACAGTTCGGATACAAACTCGCTTCAACAGGCTATGGCACATCAGCGCCTGTACATCCCAACTCTCGTCTCTCTGTCCAACACCACTGTTCGTACTCACTCAACTCTGGATCACCCTGGATATCCCACACGCATACCCACACTCTCGTACTCATACACTCGCCTATCAGCTATGGCGGCTATGGCCGTTGTCCCTCTATGGCTATGGCTAACTATCTTCTTCAGCCCACTTCGTCTTCGGGCACTCTGCAGACCACCTCGCACAAGTCGCTCAGGCAGCGCTTCCGCATGGCTTACGCAGGAATGAATGAATAGCTGGACGCTGCCTCTTGATTTATACTTCTGTTCACTGCTGGTCTGCCCTTTCCACCGGGGCCCTGGTGCACACAGTCCCACATGGTACTTGCTGACTGGACTAGATGAGACTTGGACTGGGTACCGCTGACTCAGCATGGGTGAACTCACCACTTGCCCACTTGCCTCTAGTCTGCTGTGAGCAACGTTTGAAAGGCCGCTTCCGGACCTTCCGGAGGTCTGTGGACTTGGCCCTTCGACACTGTAGCGGCTACGACCTTGGCCTTTCAGGACTGTAGCAGCTACGACCTTGAACTTTCAGAACCACTACAGCTACGACCTCTGCTACAAGCTTGACCCCTACGTGACAGACCTACGGTTCAAGACCCAGTCCCACATGGTACTTGCTGACTGGACTAGGTGAGACTGGGACTGGGTACCGCTGACTCAGCATGGGTGATCTCACCACTTGCCCACTTGCCTCTAGTCTGCTGTGAGCAACGTTTGAAAGGCCACTTCCGGACCTTCCGGAGGTCTGTGGACTTGGCCCTTCGACACTGTAGCAGCTACGACCTTGGACTTTCAGGACTGTAGCAGCTACGACCTTGAACTTTCAGAACCACTACAGCTACGACCTCTGCTACAAGCTTGACCCCTACATGACAGACCTACGGTTCAAGACCCAGTCCCACATGGTACTTGCTGACTGGACTAGGTGAGACTGGGACTGGGTACCGCTGACTCAGCATGAGTGATCTCACCACTTGCCCACTTGCCTCTAGTCTGCTGTGAGCAACGTTTGAAAGGCCACTTCCGGACCTTCCGGAGGTCTGTGGACTTGGCCCTTCGACACTGTAGCAGCTACGACCTTGGCCTTTCAGGACTGTAGCAGCTACGACCTTGAACTTTCAGAACCACTAAAGCTACGACCTCTGCTACAAGCTTGACCCCTACGTGACAGACGTACGGCTCAAGACCCGACGGACACACTAGCCTGACTCCTAAGACACAGGTTACGGGTTCAAACACAGGGGTACTGTACACAGGGGAGTGACGTCTAGGGATCGAGCCCTGGGATGTGCATCCGCTACTGCAAAGGTGAAAACCGTTTCACACCCGCCGGCCTAAATTTGAGGCCCTCCGAGAATATCTCAGTCCAAGGCAGGACATTTACCCTTCTTATCTCTTTCGTAGGCTCGGACTATGTCGGGAGCGGTTTCTAGAAGTTTCGTTCTGGTAAACCCGCGGTTGTCCTCTCGTTCCTGATAAGCAAACCGGACCTCATACTGTTTTTGTGGACGATCTCTACCTCCTGTTCTAAACACGTCTTCACCTACAATGCCCTAAATGTCGTACCTTCCATCCATGTCCGGACGGATCATGGATCTTCTCGACGGACATTGTTGACTCGTGACACATGGGAGCAACTTCGACACATGAAACACAGGGTAGGTGTGGAGGTGTGCTGGGATCTCTATCGTATAGGCAATCCATCCTCTCCGTCCTTAACT